TATATATTAAAATTTCACTAATTATATTTTATTTAACTTTTTAGAATTATTTAAATACTATTTGTTGATAATTCTATTAACAACTAATACATATTTATATAGACAATCTTCAGATTATTAATCAAATTACTCATGCTACCGTGCAACGCACGGTTCCCATGCTAGTTTTATAGAATACTAGAATATCTAAGCATCCTAATATGATACTTTATAGGACGAAACAAAAAAAATCTTTTATCTAAAAAAGTTACAATATGTTTTTTCAGATGATTTTGGACGTTTTAACAAATTCTATGACGCTTTGAAAATAAAATATCGTATTAGTTATTTTATACGGCACAACTTGAAAAAGTGTCATATGATCATGTCCTATAAATAGATGATTTTATGGGACAATTCTCAAAATATTTCTATAAAGTAACCAATACGACATTTTATTTAATAATCATTCTAAAACACTTGTTGAAACATCCAAAAACGTCCTATAAATATATTGTAATCTTTTTAGATAGAATGTTTTATGGTATGGTCTATAAACTTAAGTTTTATGAATTATTTCATTCGTCAAATTTTATGTAACTACTAACCCGCCAACCTAACCCAACCCATCTCAACCCATAAGAGTTGGGTTTGGTTGAGTTATACTTTTGAATGAGTTGGATTGAGTTTAGATTTTCTCAAACCGTTATAATTAGATTGAGTTATAAAAATGTTATAAACCATCCAACCCAACCCAACCCAACCCAACCTGCTTAACCCTCTATTAAAAATCAGACGAAATTGATTACATTTTAATGCAATTTTTAAAATAGCAAAAATGAAGTTTACTCAAAAATAAATTTGGTCCATGAGAGATTCGCTGTTTCAATGAATTTCCCAAACAAGCAGCAAGGGGGCGCGCGCACACACACTCCATTCTTACATCTCATCCAAATTACATACATATATGGACACAATCGAAGGGAGGATCATCTTGGGTGCCCTTCAACAACAATCACCTCTTCTTCAATCTTGAGCCACACCCAATCTACCCAGATGATCCAAACCCTCGTTTCTTGATTCTTTTTCCGTACAAAAATGGAGGGCACATTCCTCCCAAATAGGCCAGCTCTCCCTATCCAATTGACCAAACCAACTCAATCGAACCAACAACAACAAAGACTCGGATTCAATCCAACAACTCTCCCTCCGCAGCCACCGTCGTTCTCCATTGATCCTCTCCTCCAACACCTCATACACCTCTCTTCTCCGCCGCCAACCACCACCCACAACCAAAAACCCATACGATCAAGCAACACCCACTTCCCTTCGATTCGCAATTCTTCGAAAAAACATGTTGTCAGTAGAACACATTTCAAGAAAACTTATTCGAGTTCACTGCTTACCCTTGAAGATCCCAAAGTTCATGTGGCTGATGTTGATGGCGATGGCGATGGCGATGGCGATGGTGATGGTGCACTTGACTTTCTTTCACGCGAGTGTAAGTTTATGCTGGATTCCATATTAGAACAGCCTTTATCCAGTTTAAATTTGTTCTTTTATTCTGTTAAGTTGGAGTTGATTGAAGTTGATTTGGTTAGTCTTTTAAAGGGTTTAGATCTTTTGGGCAATTGGGAAAAAGCCCTTTGTTTGTTTGAATGGATATTGGAGGATTCAAAGACCAATCCAGGTTTCAATCTAGATAACCAAGCTATTGAATTAATGGTGAAAATATTGGGTAGGGAATCACAACATACAGTTATGTCAAAGTTATTTGATCAGTTTGATGCTATTGATAATTCACTTGATGTTCGTGCTTTCACTACAATCCTTCATTCGCATTCGAGCAGCGGAAAGTATGAGAAAGCTATTAACTTGTTTCAACGAATGAAAGCGATCGGGTTGTCTCCCAATTTGGTTACTTACAATGTGATGTTGGATGTTTATGGGAAAATGGGTCGTTCGTGGGATAAAATCTTGACCCTTTTGGAGGAACTGAAAGCCGAAGGGCTTGAGTTCGATGAATTCACTTGTAGTACGGTGATATCTGCGTGTGGTAGAGAAGGATTGTTAGAAGAGGCGAAAACTTTTTTCGCTGGTTTAAAAGCTCAAGGCTATAAACCGGGAACTTTTACTTACAATTCTCTACTCCAAGTATTCGGGAAGGCCGGAATGTACTTAGAGGCATTGAATATCTTGAAAGAAATGGAGGAAAACAACTGCCCACCGGATTTGGTTACTTATAACGAGCTTGTGGCTGCATATGTGCGAGCAGGGTTCCATGAAGAAGGGGCGGCTGTTATAGATACAATGACTCAAAAGGGCGTAAAACCAAATGCAATCACTTATACAACGGTTATTGATGCATATGGGAAAAGTGGAAAAGAAGATAAGGCCTTGAGTCTATTCAAGATAATGAAGAAATCCGGTTGTGTGCCTAATGTTTGTACTTATAACGCGATTCTTGGAATGTTAGGAAGAAAATCAAGATCTGAAGAGATGATTGAGATTCTTCGTGATATGAAAGCGAATAAATGTTCACCTAATCGCGTCACTTGGAACACGATGCTTGCTATGTGTGGAAACAAAGGGATGCATCTTTATATGAATTGGGTTTTAAAAGAGATGAAAAGTTGTGGATTTGAGCCCGATAGAGACACTTTCAACACATTGATAAGTGCATACGGTAGATGTGGTTTGGAACTTGATGCTAATGAAGTTTATCGGGAGATGATCAAAGTGGGGTTTAATCCGTGTATTACAACCTATAACGCACTTTTGAATGCATTGGCTCGTAAAGGAGATTGGAAAGCAGCTGAATCAGTGATGTTAGATATGAGAGGAAAAGGGTTCAAGCCTAGTGAAACTTCGTATTCTTTGATGCTTCATTGCTACTCAAAAGGGCAAAACTTAAAGGGGTTAGATGTGATGGCAAAGGAGATATATGACGGGAAGATCTTTCCTAGTTGGATGCTTCTAAGAACGCTAATTCTTGCAAATTTCAAGTGTAGATCACTTAGTGGCATGGAAAAAGCGTTTCAGGAATTGCAAAAACACGGTTACAAACCTGACCTTGTAATATTCAATTCCATGCTTTCTATTTACGCCAGAAACAAGATTTATGATCAGGCTCGTAAGATGCTCCGTTTGATTTACAATAGCGGATTGCAGCCGGATCTTGTCACTTTCAACACGTTAATGGATATGTATGCAAGAACGGGCGAGTGTTGGGAAGCTGAAGAAATCCTCAAAAGTGTACAGAAATTGGGCAGAAAACCCGATCTTGTTTCATATAATACCGTCATTAAAGGCTTTTGTAGGCAGGGTTTCATGGATGAAGCTAGAAGGGTACTTTCGGAAATGACAAGTAAAGGGATCCGGCCATGCATTGTTACATACAACACATTTGTTGCCGGATTTGCAGCTCAGGGGTTGTTTTCAGAAGTAAACAATGTGATTAGTTATATGATTGAGCATAATTGCAGGCCGAATATGCTAACTTACAAGACTATTGTAGACGGATATTGTAGAGCTAAGAAGTATCAAGAAGCGTTAGAATTTGTGGGAAACATTAGAAAAAGTGACGGTTCTTTTGATGAGCAAAGTTTGCAAACACTTGCTTCTCTTGCTCGGGCAAATGTTGTGTTATGACCCCCTTCAAAAAGTCCCCTCTTTGGCGTTTTTTGTTTGTTTAGTGGGCTAGTTTTCGGTTGCTGATATCACCATTGAAAGAAAGGGCTTCCCGTTGTGTTGATTCAAGATTTGCAGGCTTGCAACCAAAGACAGACATTGAAGCTCACTAAAGGTATTTCCACCTTCATTTTCTCCATTTATTAACTCAAATTTGATTGCTTTGAACAAAAGTTCGGTGACTTAGGGCTTGTTTACCTACTGTTGACTGGTGCTGATTGGGTCAGCATTAGCTAGTTTACCAATACATTCTGGCCATCAGATATGCTGACCCTGCAAGGCTGTAAGGAATGGGAGGCTTATTTTCTGACTTGGTCACTGCTTCAGTCAGCGCTTACTCAGACACTTGGTAAACAACCATTTTCCAGACCGCACTCTTACTCGATCAGCACTTACACAATTTGTGTTTGTTAAGGGACCCTTAATCTCGGATTCTTTCTGATATGTTCTCAAGTATGCCTGCGTATTGGCTTCCTGACAACAAACTTGACTTCAAGATCTTTGCTCAAGTTTATGTGATTTCTTTCTGAGTGATGAACTTTTGAACCATCTTACTTGCCTTTTCATGTCATACCAACCATTCTTTTCGTTGCAAGAATGCCACAAGAAGACTATAGTTTGGAAGAATGAGGGATCTTGAACAAATTGTGAAAATATAAATGGTCAAAGACTCTTCTTGTAAGGTGTAGTTTCTTTTTTGCATTTTCACTGAATGATTGTTTGTTTGCAAAGAAAAGCCAAAGACGATGGTGCCCAAAGTCAGTCTCTCTCTCTCTGTTTTTCTTCGGGTTGCTTGTAGAATATATGTTTCCTAGCTTGATTGATGAAGGAACGGGATCTTGGAGCAACTTAAAAGGTTACTCCTTTGTGACTAGAAAGTCAACGGGTTGAGTTGTAGTCGTGTAGAAATAAACCAAACTAACCCAGTAAACCCCACGTTAGAGGTAGGGTCTGGGGTTAGGATTTATGCAGATCTTGCGTGTACCCCCGGTAGCAAAACAAAAAGATAAAAGAAACAAGCAAGCATGCAGCCTACCGGGGTTTAGTTGTGGTTAAAAGTGTTTGGTTTGTAGGATTTGGAATTGGTATCCACTCCGATCTCGCATTTGGCTTAAATGAAAGCCCGGAATTGAAATACCGGGGATTTAGAAATACCATGGGGGTAGTTGGTATTTCAGTAGGGTCTGGGGGTAGGATGTATACAAATCCGTCATCTGCTCCAACGAATAGAGCCATTGTGATCGAATGTTTACCATAAAAGGGTCATGTCCATCGGTGTACAGAACGTTGCATATTCAGGTGACAACTTGAAAAAAGAAAGGACGAAAAGATTGAACCGTATGTGTTGTTTCAGCCATTTGTTTTCGCTCTTTAAACTGTATTCTTTATACAAGTTTGTTGTTTTGCAGGAAGTACAGCTTCAAGCAACATAAAAGGGATGAAATGGTGGTATGTTTTTCGAGTCCAGAATTTCAGATCGGCTTTTCTTTTATTTTACTTATATGACGTAAAAGAGCATCGATTAGAACTCATTTGGCTCGCTTTTTGTATGTAAGCCTGGGTACGCGAACGGGCATGTCCATTTTTAGATTAGAATTTTCATTGTAAATGCTGTAATTTATGATAAGAACTACCAAGGTTGTGTTGGGGTGGATCATGTTGTGTATGATCCATTCCACATATGCTTTCATCTTGGTAATATCCGCAACGATGATGTTATAAAGAATTATATTCGATGCAGTAACAGTCGTCTTTTAAAAGCCCGATTTCTAAAGGTTTATAGTCGGAAAAATGCTTATTTCATTACCCCTGATGCAGAGAAATTCATACATGTTTTTAGATGTATGTTCGAATGGTCGTTTACAATTGAGAGCATATCGTTGGAAGGCAAACCTTGGTAGAAATGGGTTAGAACCGCATTGAAATTGAACTGAAATCGAGATACCCAGTTTGGTTCTGGCTTATCGATTCAGCCAAACCAAACAAACGTTCCAAATGGTAAACGGCCCCTAAATCTCATTTGCTCAAGTCTCATATATGAACACGCCAACAGTGATTGCTTACGATGAGACTCTAAACCTTTCTAAATATCTACACTTCCAGTGGTAGTATGAACATAAGCAAGCAATGTGCATTCAATCTTATGCAAAGTCATGAATTATGCAAGGTCACTTTGACATCTCCAGTTCTTGATCCAATTGTTTTTTAACCCACAGATGCTCCTAAAATTTGAAGTAATATACGAAACAAAACTCTCTCGTCAAATTTACAGCAAAATACATGGCGGTCTTTGTTACTCTATCAATATAACGGCCGTAATAATAGGTATTTTTTCTCTCAATTTCTGTGTCAATGCAACACGAACCGTCATCACCCCGGCTGCAGGGCCGCTGAGCCGCACTTTGACGGTGTAGTCTTTGATTTCGACAAACTCAAGAATGCCACCACCGGTCCCAACCAAGTATGGTCTAATCTCTGCAAGAATCTGCATTTTCAACAACCCAATTTATCACATACTCGAATACAGTCTCCATCTGTTTCTCCGTTTCATGAATTTGTGTTATTAATCAAGATTTTCTGGAGATTTTTTGATAAATAGGAACGACACCAAACTTTGTTGCGTTTTGATGTACTTTACCCTTTAGAATTGTATCTATTAATTACCTTTTCAACATTCTCCTCGTTCAACTCGAGCCCGGTTTCCGTGTCAAGTATTTGCTCGACGTCCATGATTTCAGGAATTTTATCTCTGAGTCGAGTCTCGATTCCCATTTTGAGTGTCATTGTGGAACTTGGACACGAACCACATGCTCCTTGAAGTTTTAGCACGACGACGAGACCGTCGATCTCGTGTAACGCAACATTGCCACCATCGGCCATAAGTCCAGGCCGGACCTCATCCAACACCTTCTCCACATTTTCTTCCGTTAACGGAAGAACGCACACAGGCCCTTCAATTCATATCGATAGAAACACAGATCAAACTTTCTAATTCCTATTTAACCATCAATTCCAGAGAGGATAATAAAAACAAAACCAAAATAAGAGAATACGAAAACGACCAAATCACATGTGATTATAGAACACGGTCAACACAATGGTGTACGGATGACTTTGGACTGCAACCAACCTGGGAAGGTCGTGATTTTAGTGTAAAATCACATATGATTTGACTGTTCTCATGGGATCACCGTTTTTATTTTTAGCTGAACTCCATCATTCTTAACATACCCCACAAATATCAAACATGATAATCATGAATTTATAAAGCAATCATGCAAAATGCATATCTTAGGGGTGTTTGGGATTGTTTATTTGAAACAACTTTATGCTTTCCTAGAAAAACACTTATTAACTTACCAGAAGGATTTAACTTATTCGAAAACTCATTATTACAGGTTTGACACCGGTAAAAGTTGTTCACCCAAAAGTGTTTATTACCGGTGACACACCAAAATAAGTCAATAAGTTGTTTTTATAACCAATTCCGAACAGCCCCCGGTCAAGTAATCAACCACACAAATTAATAACCACAATCATTTGATTGCATTTGAAGTTCATACCTGCACGCTTTCTCAGTCGCCTGCTAGAATCTAATCTAAGAAATTGCTGGTTTATTTGGAAATCGCCTCTCAAGAAGGAATTACGTTTCCGCAAACACGAGCTGTGATCTGAAACAGGATTCTTCACGAAAAAACACAAATTATGAGCTACCTTGGTTTCTGGAGATGAAATCGAATGATACGACGTACCTTTCTGGAGAGGAAAACAATAACATGAGAAGGAGGAGAGGGTTTATGATCGGATGAATAACAACAAATGGATGTTGAAGAAGAAGAAGGAGATGGTGATGATCTGAGACCTCTTGTTTGAGTTGCGATTGCACCCATTTCAGATCCAATTCGATTGAATTTGGGTGAAGAATGTTGATATGATTATCCCCAAAACTGAAGTCGAATTTTGAGAGGCTTTTCCCCCTCCTAAATCTGTGGACACAAATTCACAGCTTCAACTTCTTTTAGCTTCTTTCTAATTCTCCCCATGGTACCAGGATAGGGTACGTGTAATATACTATTTTATGAAAAATCAAATTGCATGAGAAAGTAACCACTTTAATTTGTTTCTTAAAACTTTTATTTTGATATCTAAAATGTAAAGTTTTAAACATTAAAATATTCAGGTAATCGATTGAAGCGTTAATTTTTTTTCTAATAAATCACAATACATAAAAACTAATTTTAGATTAAGATATTCATATCAGCAAATAATACTTAGTTAGATACCACATCACTCGCCACATTAGCATGGTAACCGGTTAATGCTTCAATCACGTTACCCGGATACTTAAATGTTTAAAACTTTACATCTTAGGCATCAAAATTGAAGTTTTAAAAGTACGTTACCTAAAATAAGAATCAAGTTAAAGTACGTTGCTTTTTCGTGCAATTTGTCCTTTATGAAATGAAAGCCTTTACTTCAAATTCTTAGAAAACTTTTAAATTTTAATAATGTATCAAATATAAACCACTCAAACATTAAGGGGGCATTAGAATGATTTTTGAATGAATGAAACTTGTTAAAAGAATTGGTATCTTGGAAGAAATTGGAATGGAACGTGTCATGCGTATAAAAAGGGTAAAGCTATGGTTTTGTCGTGTGTAAACGTATGAGTGTCATCCATACGTGTGAGGTCTCAAGTTTGAGCTCGAGCACCACCATTTGCTTATTCGGATTTGTGAGACTTATGTCTCTCATGATAACTACGAAATTGGTATGGTAGCAACTTTCTAGAGGGTGGTGTATATCTTTTTTTAAGGCTTTTGGTTTTACAGTACCAATTAAATACATTTTAAATATTTGATTATTATGGTATTATAGACTACAAAATGCGAGTTCAATTTTTGAGATAATTGGAGGTGATAGGGAGACGGATATTGTTATTATAATATTTTACATACTGAATTATTATAGGAGGCATGTTGTCACGTCCCATTAAAAGGTTCTTTGGAACATTCCGGATAATTCAAGAGAATGGAGGAATCTTGAGGAAGGATTAAAAAGTACCATGCAAGGACCAAGAAGGGACGAGCAAGATCTAGAAGGATCCACACATTGTTAGAGCTTCTGTAACCAGAACATTCCTTGTAAATATCTAGATAATGTTTTCTAGATAGTTCTTTAGAGTAGTATAATGTATAATAGAGGTAGTCTTTTTATTTGTAAATCATACTCCACATATTTCACAACTTAAGTAATAGAGGCATAAAGTTCTTTCAATTTTATGTGAACGAAACCACCAATGTCCTTGTATTTTGGCTCTTGTTCGACTAACCTCATATATGTTTAATGTCGTTGCGGGACATAAGGGTGATATACCTCAAATAACTTTAGTCGTGACATTTGTCCATTGACTTTCATACGTAGCCTCTTAGAACATCTCCAATGCAAGGTTCTTATAAGTAAAAAATGTAACTTCTTAAAAGAACCAACATTGTTAAGAGTTCTTACAAGAACTTCACCCTTTTGACACCTTCAAGTTGATGTGAAGTGGTAATTTGCAAAAAATATATATATATTACAAATTAAATAATTGATATTTATTAACAATCATTGATGTTGAAAAAAAAATAAACAGGACCTAGAGAAATGTTTCTATAAGAACTACCATGGACTTTTCTGAGTTTTTAATTTGATGAGTTGACAATGATGTGACAAAAAATTACAAAAAATAGGTTCTTATAAATGCTCTTAGTTTGAACAGTAACCTCTTGTAAAATCTGTATGAGAAGAATATCAATCTCTAAAAAAAAATATTTTTTTTTGGGTTGTAAAAAATGCATTGTGTGACCCCAATCAACCACAACAGAATCAATCATGAGACCATATGCTACCTTTTTAAGTTTGGCATTTGCCATTTCAATCACCAAACCCACAACATTATTTTCAAAAAAGAAGAGCCCCAACCAACCAATCAAAACTGTATACAACTGATTCAAACAGATTTACTTTTACCCCACCATATGAATGAATGCATCCGAACACCTGCATTACAAAAACAAGTCAAATTAGAAGATAATAATAACCAACTAGTACTAAACCAACCCTTTTGTTTGTTCTCCCAACAGCACCATGAAAGAGGCAAATCAAATACATAGCGGTATACTAGATGACTGGCTTAAGAGTCTACTCTCCACAAGAAGCCCAATCCCCAAAGAAATTGCAACTCTTAGTGGCCGTTTTACCAAACGCTTACCCATGTAAGTGCTTACTCAGTCTCAAGCTCTTACTGGACGAATATGGTAAGCACCAAGAATCTTACCTGGTAAGAGCGAGGCAAGGACCACGGGTCTTACCCGGTAAGTGAGGGGCGACATGCTCTTATCACAGTTAGCGCTTACCGGGTAAATTGTTACATACGAAGCCGTTTTGTTGACTAAATCTTATCTGGTAAGTAAGTGACAGTGTTGGATTTTACCGGTAAGCGCTTATAGGTTAAGTGGTTGGTAAACGGCCCCTCACACTCAGGCTGCCAGACTCAAACCCTGGCATGGCATGTTTGTGCAAGTATACCATCTCGGAAGCAACTATGCTACAACATGGGGGCTCAATCATCAGCAGTTATGAAACTCGTCAACGCCCACATGAAATTAAACCTACACAAATGTAACTTGGTGCTCATCTTGCATAGCATCCTGGGATTTTCCGGGTGTGTTCAACCGCTCTATGGACAGGTTGTTAGGATAAGCTATGCTCTGTGATGTGTATGCACGTGTGAGCGCTATGTTTACAGTCATATAGCAGTGTAGTGGTAGGGGTTGAAAATGCAACACGTACAAGAAGTAAACCAGGATAAGTAGTCGTACAAAATATGTACACTTGGTTACTGTTTTAGTTTATATCGCTTGGGCAGATTATCACGAATGAAATCTAAAAATCATATGGCCTGTCACAGTAGCCACAAAGTAATTAAGGTGCGTGGATGGAGTGAATACCACAATTTAGATCATGAAACATAAAAAAGAACAAGATACTGTTGACTTAGAATTTAATTTCTAGTAAGTTGTGTAGCAACATTCATATAGGTAGCCACATTCATAGAACTCCTGATCATTTGTGAGAGGCTGGAAGACATAAAGAACACCAATGGTAGGCACTTAGTTATTAGCAAGAAAATCTAGGCCTCCCCTCATAAGATTAATCCAACCAATTATTAGTACGAAGAATCTAGACCTCCCAACCATGTATATGTATATGCATACACTAAAGACAGTTAAGGACATTGCTGGCTATGTATCATTTCACAACCAACTTACTCAAAGCCAAGACAATTAACAGCCAAGAATCCGCTTAGGGTTATTTAGGAGAATAACCTTCTAACTTATTTTTTAAAAATGCATGACCTTCTGACAGATTTAAGAATGCCTCTACCTAATAAAAGAATGCCTCTTCCTAACACAAAAATGCCTCAAAATTTCTCTTATGAAATCTGTCAGAAGCTTATTCTCCTAAATAACCTTATCCGCTTATAAATGGTCAAATCACATGATTTTCTTAATGGGCATTGCCAGTTGATTTGCTCACACAATAGTTGTAAATGAGTTGGTTACATATGATCTACAAACACTGATGGCTATGGATCAATGTACTTGACTAAAACAATCGACAAAGGTTTTTCAGCTTGTTTATGTGAGAGAGACGATATGAACATAGTATGTAAGCATACAACATACCTGTACATGATATTGACATCAACCCATTTTTTTTCGTTCAACTGCTCTCGGAGACTTTCCTAGGGTCAAGCTTCCCGCTGCAATAACTTGAAGGAACTGCCAAAAGTTCTTGCCTTCCTTTCCACTCCTCTCCATGCTTCAATGTAACGGGTTTTTCCACTGCTGCAGCGACCACACAAAGCATATGTTTGTAATCTTCATCTCCAAAATCAGGAATAGACTTTGCCTTCTTATCCCATGGATTCCAGACCACTATAAGAATATATAATTTTGTTACCGAAACTTTGCATCAAAAATTTCCCAACATGATGTGGTTGTAAACCAGGAGGATCAATTTATGCATTCCGAGATGAAAGTTTAAAGGATAAAAATTTAAAACTAAATTGAAGAGAATAACATAATGCTGAGCAGCCTTCAAACTCAAATATTTAATGAGAATGAAAGAAAGAAAAAGGAAGGGATTGAACTTATGATCTAATATGTGCAGCCATGCATACCCTAAGACGATACTTCTCAAATATGACATTTTATGTTCTACTACCATCATTTTATAGCCCTCACTTAATCGCACATTAGTAAAGAAGACCATTATCAAGTCATACTTCCTCAAGTAAATTTATAGAGGTGGATCCAGAAAATTTTCAGCACAGGTGCACAAAATAATTATGATAATATAAAACAAAACAAAATAGTTAGAAAAATAAAACAAGCATGGTAGCTTTTTGCAGCACCCAAGTTGTTTTTCCTTTGTTACAAAAAAATAGAAAAAAGATGCCAAAGGGAACTTGCATGCAATGACACTACCAGTAGGATACATCCACTTCTTTAACTTAGGGGAGCACACATCAAATTAAAGTGGGTGCACCTTTAAGGCCCCTAATTTTTTTCCATTGCATAGGGACAATAGGAGGGGGCACGGCGCCTCCTCCGTATTATTGAATCCGCCCCTGTTTTTACGTTTTTTAGACAAGCTATAATAGGTCATACCAACATGCCAGGAGATCCTAAATCATGACATAAACAGATTTCTTTCCTAATTAGAGAAGTCAGAGGAATGCATAATCTCACCAACATCAGGAAGTCCATCTTTCCGAATGACAAACGTCCGTTTCTTTTCATGATCCAGAATTGCAATCTTTGTTGGTGTGCTGAGATAAACCTTGTCAACCTGATTAATGTTTAACAGTACATAAGCCTCAACCAAAGAAAAGTATTCAAAGTGACTTTTAGGGAAGAGGTCACAAAAATTACTTCTGATTCAAAAGTTAGTGCATCCCCTTGTTCTGTAAATCGCTCCCTCTTCTGCAAATTGTCAAGATAATCCAGCGTCTCCAATCCTTCCACCCGAATTTCACTGAAGGAAGACAATGATCTTCTTTAAAATAGATTCATTGATTCCACCCAATAGCTAAGAAACCTTATTCCAACATGAACACCGAATGAGAATACCGATAGTTTCAACAATTAGCATAGTAGGACAAATAGATTGTTGACATGTTGTTGCAAAACAATGAATGGCTCCAAGATTATGAAGCTCTGTCGCCTTTTAAGAACGAAGTTCCTTCCATTTTAGAAGTAGGAAGATTCGGCAATAACCACAATCAAACACTCAAATTAAAAGGGCTTAAGTTAACCAAGGGACACTAGTAAAATGCTGTCATTTTTCTAGTATTCATGTCTGTGTGCGCATTTTCAACACATTATACATGAACCATAAGTAACTGGATATGAGTTTCTGTAGAGTTCACATGTGACAATTGACAAGAATTAACAACATCGTCTCTTGAGTTCTTTTATTGATGATTACTAAAAACATCTTGACAATACCAATTACAGGTCTCATGAAGATAATACTAGATGAAGAGAGACAATTTTTTTCGCATCAATAAAACTATAATATATTAAAATACAGTCAACTTTCTGGCATGGGCTACTTTATTCTTCCTCCGCCCTTTCCAACATAAGTAACTTGAATGAAGGCTTTAGATAGACATAATCTCGGGAGGACTATAGTCAGTGGATCAATGGGAAGAAAGGGTGTTAGTTTATGGGCACCAGGTCCATGCCTAGCGTCTGGACTCTAAAAGGCACTCACCCAGGCAAAGCATAGTACAATGTTGCCTAAATAACTTGTATATTAATTTATATGCCATAATTACAAATAATGATTCCCAAAAAGAAGTTTATATTACACAAGTATTCAATCACTCAACATTAAACAAGCCAACTACTAGTACTAGTATATTAATAGGAAGAAATTCTCACGACCTCAATCTACCAGCCACAATACAACCCACACGATGACACAAGAAATCAGATGAACCGCTCTCAACAGGCAATCATACCATGTAAACAGACCTCATGCAAGCATCCTCCTGTAGATAGTTTGGCTTGCTCACATCAATACCCATCTCTCAAACTCTTTGTGGCTTGTGCTTAGCCTGGTTGGTCCCACACAAGGCAGTTCAGGATCCTTCTCAAAATGATGTTCTCGAAAGGCATGACTTGGTACACAGTGTGTATTTCAAGATATAGTTGTTGGTTGATAGCTTTTCCTTCTCAAATGTTGTTCAAATCACGGTCTATGGCTGTAGTGCTTAGAAAATATTTCTATCTTTCACAATCAAGCTATTAGAGTAGTAGTATACCCAATCTTCTTGGTGTTTTATGTACTAGTTCAGTTAGCCTCCCTCCACTACTATAATTTCACCATTAGCATTAGGAGTACTGGTTTATGATGTTCTGGAGTTGATGTGATCATGTGAATACTTAAATTCATCCAGTTAGGTGTATTCAGTTCGATCTCTAGTCTCTACTTGGCATCACCTTTATCTTAGAAGGCTTTGACATTTGCATTTAGTCATAATTGGGTTGTTCTCCTTTGAAATAGGGGCTTAGAGGCATTTGGCCGTCTCAACCTACCACTTCGGCTTTAGTTCTGATTGTGCTTTCAATTAACCCATCTCCACCATGCACATTGCGAGTCTTCAGTCTAGGCGAAGAATTGTTCAAAGGTGTTCCCTTCACTGTTAGATAATAGGTCCGGATTCAATTTCGTAATGGTCGACGGTTGTTGGAGAATCACCGGTCATCTTGTACTTGTGATTTTGCTTTAAATAGGTTATATTCAACAGTTTGAATTAATAAAGGCAATTGATAACCCTATTATTAGTTTCTAACTTTTGTTTTGATATGCCTAAAACAATTGATTATCTAGAAAGTTGTTATTCTAAAACTAACTACATTTTATATATTGAAAAAAAAATCTTAATCCCCAATTGGCAATTAAACATCAGAAGGTTACTAACCCGCCTAACTCTGCTAAAGCTTTTTTTGGAACATTGTCTTCTATGTGCATGTACATCCCTTACCTGGCCACACACAAAATGCAAAGCTCACCTTAGGATTTTTCAGTTGTGAGGTCTGGTACAAGATTTTCCAAAAAAACTCGGGAACTACATCTATTTAGACAGTTTTTTGCAAGCACACACCTATCATTTGAGACACCTCCAAGCTACATTTAAGATTTTAAATAGCAAGACTGTTAGAAGTTTTATAGATTTCTTCACAACCTTTACTTTAGAAGGATTTTTATAGAGGCACCAAAAAGGAAACATTTCAAGTATACAAGGATATGTATACCCTTGTGCTATGTTAAATGAAATATATGCATTCCTAGGATCTCAAAAATATAGTTACACCAACATGTCACTAAATATAACAAACAAGTTCCAGATGAATAAGTAAATAAAAACAAATTTGGCTTCCAACTCAAAGAGATTGTTCATTGCAATTTAACTCCCTTGCAGTTGCAGGTCAGGCCAACACTGAAATTGCTTTAGCTTGGCCGGTCATAGAAGTACACACATAGGTTGGGGATCACTATATTCTGTTTTGACTTGTAAGTATTTCTTCTTGCAGTAATTCGGCAAAGAATGCATTCATGAAAAGTGGCTAAAGGACTTGGAGCATTTTCAATGACTTCTTACTATTTAGAAAACCCTTTTGAATGGGTTGGTTTGGTATGCAATAACCTATTGAAGTTTTACCTTTTTCAAATTTTTTTTACCCTTCTCTCACTCTTATCTTTATTAATTATTAAAAACAAAAAGTTATTGAAAAGGTTGGTTGCATTGGAGAAGATTTTTAAAGACAAGTTTTTCTATATAGAATTAGTGGAAATCTGATGTGGAAAAAGTAAGAAGCCATTAAAAGATTTATGCATCGTGGATGCTCGTAGTAACTTGCTTTCTTTCTATCCACAATACAAGTCAATCAATCACCTCTCTCCAATTTGGCTGTGTTCTACCCCCTAGTTCTCTCTCTTCAAAAGCAACTGATTCAATAATTCCCTCATCTTTGGCTTACTGATAATCTTTCTCTTTTATGTTATTCAAATAGATGTAAAGTAAGCTCTTTAGCAATATTAAAGAATAATAAAAAAGGCGACCTGGTTTTGCAAAGGTTGGGATGAAAACCTTTGGATGCATCCTTCCCCTTGCAATTTGCCAGAGCCTTTTCAGTGGCTCAAATATGTGATTTCCAGTCACAAAGAGTAACCTTACCGGTTGCTCCAGTGCTGTCCCCGAATGATAAAAAAAATGTGGAAATGGAACATCAAGTCAATTACATAAAATACATATAAGGAGCTGAGTTTGTATAGAAGAGTGTGAGGGATGTTATTCATGTTGATGTTTCATCTCTAATGATTTATGATTGGATCATTTATAGTATCACAACTAGTTTGCTATAAGACTACGTGTTCTGGTTGTTGTTCATGACATAGAGTAAAGGAATGAAACCACTTTACCTTATATCTGAAACAGAAAAATAGGTGTGATATGCAGTGGTGAACAAAAATGGCTTTCCGTCAATGCTAGTATTTCTGATGCGAGATGTTAGCATCAAGTCTCCTCCAGGTCCAAGACTAACCCTCAATCTGTACTCAAAGCTACAAAATGAACAAAATCTAGTCTGAATTGAACGACTAGTAAATAGATTAAGTTTTTCTTCTAAAAAGAGAATAGACAAAATACAAAACATAATGAGCTTTGGGATTAACCATCTACAAATAGTCAATAAGCACACAAATCCGATTGTCTAGTAGAAAAGGAAGCCGTGTAAGATCTACCTGTGAGGCCAAGTCGTCAAATCCTCTTCAGTTGACTTGTAGATCAAGTCAACGAAAACTCTATTTATGGCATTGGCTGGGGKGGGAGGGGGTTCATTGTCAACACTCCAGAATTTGGTCCTAGCAAATCCATGTAGATCAAGCGTGCCTACATTTGAGAACTACCACGACAAAGCAAGTTTCATTGGCTAGGATAAATCCAAAAACAAATAATTAAACAACCAAATGGACAAGGAGGCACGTACTTGAGGGAAGCATATAGGAATACCTCCTCGTATTGGCTTTGGAGGCTTGAAGGTTGCCTGCAATATAAACATTCATTTATGAACTATGAAAAACAACACGCAAAGATGCAAAGGCCTTGTCAACTCTCACTGTCAGAAACAAAGCAACAAAAAACTCACAGGAATTTTTAAAAGTCATAACTTCAAAATTGACCCTTCGTGTACATTATATATGAAAAGATGAGATATGTCTCCGGAGAGGTCAAATTCAGGGCTTTACAGAAACAGTAATTGTTGGGAAATAATTCATATAGACAGTACATAGCTCCATTTTAGAAGCAAAAAAATAGGAATTGAAGGAACAAGTGCATGTCAGAAAAATTGTACCCTTCACCATTCACGATGCAGTAGCCTATGCATCATTTACCCGACAACTGTTACCATTATCCACCATTCACTGTTTATCAGGAACGTGGTATATCAGTCACAAAGCATTAGTATGTGACAGCTGGAGCCATAACAAAACAAAAGGCAAGTCAATCTTCCCCTCTCCCCGTTTACATTGCAAAAAGTTTGAAGGCAACTTCACCTTCCTTATTTCCTCCCATATATAAAATATTAAAAGATTGAAATGTGGTGTTGATTTTTGAAATACTTATTCCACTCTCCACAAATAAAAAGGGAGGAAAACATGCAGAAATAGAACAAGTGAAGACACAATCTATATCAGTTGCCTTTAAAATCTATTTTCATATGCAATGTTGGTAATTGGATTAACCACCCATACACAATCTTAACAAAAAAACAAACATACACTACAAGATTCCATAAGTTCTGTGTGCCAAAAAGATCAAAGGCCAGCTTACAAGTGATAATCATGATATCTGTCATTAGTGCAAGTTTAATGTATACATACATTCCCCATAATAGAATCTATAGAACTTGTGTTGTGGTACCTTACTACTCATAAAAAGCAACTCTTCTCCATGCTCATTTTTCCAAGATGTCACATGTCCACCATACAGATATACCTGCAAAAGACAAACAAATAAAAAGCACTAAGGACGTTAGTCCGCATTCTCCAACTACAAGAAAAAAATAATCCACCTAATCTCTTCTATCAGCGCAACATGCATAATTACATTACAACTTATTTCTACAGAACAACATATGTTATTTGCATTCTTATGAGGAGGTTAGAGATTTTGAATTAATCATCGTCAGAAAAATTGCATTCTGTTCACCAGCATTAATTAATCACTCCATCCGTTAACAGCAGCAAGATACACTATTCTCCGAAACCAATCTATGGCCATGTAATTTTGTTATTGTGCCGTAGCCATCTCTTAAGTGCCCAAAATATGAACATAACACTGTACTTATGAAAGGAATGAAAGCCGCGAGATCAAGCTTACGTCAATCAAGCATGCATACAAAAAATATATACATATATAAATATAAAATCACAAACTCACACACTATCACGCAAGATTGACGTTACCAGAACCAGATAGAGTGAAATTACACATGTTGCACAAGACCTGGAAAATTTCAAACAAAAATTCCTCCCACAAGACAAAAAATGCTCATGCGTCGCTAGATTCAATTGCAAAACCATGGAATTGTAACCTAATACCACGTAGCGTACACTTTGGTATGCTAAATGATGATCATTACGGATAAGATGAATTCAATCAACAATGCCGCTGACATAACATCCAAGAAAACAAGACGTACGACAAAAAAAATCACAGTAAACGTAGAGAAATCTGAAGGAAATAGTTAAAATTAGTTTAGGTACCTCGACAGAACTGCCGTGGTGTTGATGGAGGACAACCTTTTGGAGGCCATTAACGCCATCAATGATCTCAACAGATCTGTTATCGGAGGTCGACATCTCATCTGTCATTCATCAAAATCCGATAACCTACTCCGAAGTCCGTCTGATTCTCACCAAGATCTCCACTATGTTATGTGTGTACGAATCTCTTCTCAAGAAACCGTTGGGTTCTCTGCTAAGTTGATGCCAGCCGGTGTGTAACTGTAACGTATTTTTTGGTACGAGTATTGATTGCATAACGCAATTTAAATATATATATTGATTAAATAAGAGAAAAGTAAGAGTGGTCCATAATATTGGTCACGTTAGTTTGTTTGTTAAGAGTTAGTTTGTTTGTTAAGAGTTAGTTTTAAGAGACAGTCAGAAATTTAAAATCTAATTTTACTTCTGATTTATAAAAAATGGTTTTGAAATCTGAAATCTGATACAGTAAAAGATTGTTTGTTTTTATGTCTGAAGTCTGAATCGGTCAAACTAATGCAAAAATATAAAAGATAAATAGTTTTTTTTTGCAAAAATATAAAAGATAAATAGTTTTTTTTTTTTTTTGCAAAAATATAAAAGGAAAATAGTTTTTGCTAATATATCTATTTCATCCCCCAAAATATGAATTATTTGATAGAGGGTGGATTAGGATCAGAGGTATTAAGAGACACTTTTACCACTTAAAATATGAGTTTGTCATTTGTGTGCAGAAGGACAAGACAAAAACTAATCTTGCTCGACAATATTCATTTGATCGTTGTACACTAGAATGACGTTGAAGGTCTCATCAGTGTTCGCGGAATCTTGCGCAAACTTCACACTTGTGTAGACAAGCTTGTTATCACTGAAAACCGCTTTAGATCACAAGCTTGCTGGTCTCTAATCTTCAGCTTTTGTATTCGACATCGCTGAAGGATCTGTGGTGTGAGTTTTGTCTTCTTGAAGGATATTGGTCTCCCAACAAATTACAATACATGTCCAGCGATCACTGAATAGACTCAGTGATGATCGTTGAAACTGAGTACAGAGATTATACACTTCGATAGATAAAAGAAATTATCATCAAATTATTGAGAGAGATGATCAACATAGCCCACCTGTGCAGCCTGATGCCTCTACCTCTATTCCTACTATTCTTTCTGTATAATGTGTGTATTGTGGTAATGACCACTCTTTTAAACAATGTCCTGGAAATCCTGAACGAGTAAATTATGTCAGTTACAATAAGACTGGACCTTTTCACAAACTTACAATCTTGGATGGAGACAACATCCAAATTTTTCATGGCATATTTTAGCACTTATCCCACCAATGCCAAAGTTGCAAGGACAGTCCAATTTTCAACCACAAGGCAAATCCAATTTTCACTCACAATCACATCACAACACTCAAAATAACCAGCAGACTAATTTTATATATCAAAATCAACAGTCTTCTTTCCAACAAAGACCCAATCAACAATCTGAATCATCTACTTCTTTGGAAGCAATGATGAAAGGGTTCATGACCCAAACTCAAACATCAATCAAAAATCTTGAAACACAGATGGGTCAAATGACTTTGGAAATGAGGAAAAGACTGCTAGGATCCCTACCTAGTGATACTGAGACACCTCAGAGGATTGGAAAAGAGCATGTTAAGATTGTAATCTTGAGGAGTGGAAAGAATTTATTAGAAAATACACAAAAAGATTTAAAAAATCCAAACAAAGTAGAGCCTGAAAGGAATTCCACAACATCAGCTTCTGCTACTTTACCCTTAGAACAACCATGTGATATCCCTGGGCCCAAAACTTTAAGTAAGCCTATTGATACCACAACCATTCCAGAAAAATCAGATTTTCCCTCGTTATTTCCAAATGAACCCACAGCAGTACAGAAACCCCAAGAGATTACTGTGGATTTATCGCACTCTGGTGGCAATCCAACAGTAGATCTTGAAAAAGCATCCCAGACTAAGCCTATAGTTGAACCTGTTTTAAGAACCCTTTCAACACCTACATTTCAAAAGAATGCATCTCTTACTCCAGTCACACCTTATATTCCTTATCCTCAAAGGTTAAGGAATCAAAAGGAGCAATTGGATTTTAAAAAGTTTCTTTATTTTTTTAAGCAGTGCATATAAACATATATTTGGTGGAAGCCATTGAACAATTGGAAAGTTATGCAAAATTTCTAAACGAAATTTTGAACGAAAAGGAAAAAGTTGAATGAGTATGAGACTGTAGCTCTAACTGAAGGGTGTAGTGCTTTATTTTCCAACAAAATTTCTCCTAAGCTTAAAGACCATTTCACCATACCTTGTTTAACTGAAGGGTGTAGTGTTTTATTGACCGCTATTTCGTCTTTTAGTGTCTATGATTTGACGCCAATTTAACGATGTATTTTGTCTTATTATGTAACGGTTTATATAAATAGGCGGTCGGGGGACCACAATCACCATCCCCACCAACCTCCTCTCCCTCCCACCTCTAGAAAAACCGACAATCATGGTCGATCACGGATCACCGACGACCACCATTCACCGATCCATCGTCATCCACCACCGTTTCACAACATCGACCACCTTTCGCCACCATCCACCACGTTCCGCCGCCACCTTTTGCCGCCAATTACCACCTTCCATCCCCACCACCGACCACCTTCCGCCACCGCCCACCGTTTGCCGCCACCTTCTAGGGGTGAACAAAAAACCGTCAACCCGCGAAACCTGCCCAACCCAACCCGCTAACAACCCAATTAAACCCAACCCGTCAAACCGCTAAACCGCCAAACCGCTAATTAGGAGGGTTGAAATTGGGTTAGCATAACTTAACCCAACCCAAACCGCCAACCCGCCGCTAATGTATATTTTTTTATAAAATTATGTATAACATATATATATATATATATTTGATATTTATAAAAATTAAGGAAGTATTCCTTAGCCCAATAATGCCTTAGCTTAACTCTTATGTGGGCCAACAGCCCAACAGGAATTGGAAAACAACCCTAATCCCTTCACTAGTTCACCCTCGTCGCTTCTACTCGCTTCTGCAATTCTGCTTGGTTGTTTACTTAGAAACGGTACCCAAATCCTCATCACCGTCGACCGTCGTCCCTACTTCTTCTCCATTGTCGTCGTCCCTCCTTCACTGTCGTTCATCCCTCCTTCGTCGTCGTCCCTCCGTGGCCGTCGTCCTCCATCGCCGTCGTTGTCCTTCACTCATCCGTCCCTAGGTAAACCCTCGACCTTCTTTTTCTGTTTTTCACGTTTTTTTGTTATTTATTGACTATTGTTGTGAGTTGTAAATGACTAAGTGTTGTTCATGCTATGTGGAAGAAGTTGTTCATTGTTCATTATAATTGCAGTATTAATTTAACTATAGTATTAAATTTAACTGTTCATTGGAATTTAACTGTGAAATCGGCCATGTTCTTTTGAGTTGTAAATGGCTAAGTGTTGTTCATGCTATGTGGAAGAAGTTTTTATTGTTCATTGTAATTGCAGTATTAAATTTAACTGTTCATTGGAATTTAACTGTGAAATCATCCATGTTCTTTTCCATTGGTTTATTTTGTTGCCTATTTTGTTGGTTTATCTTTTTGAAAATGTTATCTTAATTGACGATGTATAGGAGCAATGGAAAATACTCCTAAATCTCCAAAAATTGAAGACAATGATGAACCAAACTCGTCTAAGAAAAAGGGTGGTAGAACTTCAAATGTTTGGGATCACTTTTCAAAAAAGGACTCTAGATGTTTTTGTAATTATTGTTGAAAAAACTATGCTTACCATAGTAAGAAAATTGGCACAAGTTCTTTGTGGAATCACTTAAGGAATCAATGTAAGAAGTATTTGGATAGCTTTAACGATAAAAAAACAAAAATTGCTTAGCTTTCCTACTATCAATGAAAATGAGGTGTCATTTAATAAAGAGAGATGTCGCAAAGCCGTGGCTAGGTTTGTGTTTAAGGATGAACAACCCTTTAGGGTTGTAGAGGGTGAAGGATTTAGGGAACTTGTTCATGAGTTGCAACCAAAATTTGGTGTTCCTAGTAGAATAACTGTTGCTAGAGATGTTTATTAGTTGTTTTGCGATGAGAGAATTAAATTGAAGAAAGAGTTGACAAAGGTCGGTCAAAGAATATGTTTAACAACTGATTGCTGGACATCTTCCACACAAATGTCTTATATGTGTCTCACTACACATTACATTGATAGTAATTGGCATTTACGGAAAAGAATTATAAATTTTTGCCAGATTTCAAATCATAAGGGTGACACAATTGGTAAGGTTATTGAAGTTTGTTTGCTTGGGTGGGGGATTGAGAATGTTTTTACTATTACGATTGATAATGTATCTACAAATGACGTAACTGTTGCTTTTGTTAAAAGAAGGGTTAATGCATGGAATGGATCTGTTCTTAATGGTGAGTACATGCATTTAAGATGTGGTGCTCACATAGTAAACCTAATTGTAAACGAGGGATTGAAAGAGATACATAATTCAATTACTGCAATTCGTAACTGTTTTAGATATATTCGTTCATCTCCTTCAAGGTTGCAAAAGTTTAAATCTTGCGTTGAGAAGGAAAAAGTTGATTACAAGGGGTGGTTGGTTTTAGATGTTCCTACACGATGAAATTCTACTTTCATGATGTTGAATGTAGCTCTTAAACTTGAAAAGGCATTTGAAAGGTACGCGGATGAAGATGACAAGTTTTCGAGTTATTTTGAGGAGAAAGAAAATGATAAGAAGAGGATTGGACCACCTAGTTCTAGTGATTGGGAGTGTGCTTCTATTTTTTCAAATTTTTGTCTACTTTTTACGAAGTTACTTTGAAGTTTAGTGGCACATTGCACATAACTTCCAACAATTTCTTTCATGAGCTTTGTGAGATTGATTCTCAATTGAGTTACTTGGCTAGTAACAATGGTTCATTGTTATACACCATGGCTACTAAGATGAAGAGTAAATATGACAAATATTGGGGTGATCCAGATCGCATCAATCCCATGTTGTTTTTGGCAATTGTGCTTGATCTGAGGTATAAGTTGAAGTATTTGAAGTTTTGTTTTGAGTCCTTATA